TCCCCCCGCGCCCCCCTGTCGCCGCCGGCCGTTGCCGTCCTGGGAAGGCGCGGCCCCCCCGTCCCGCGCGGGGTCAGGGGGCGACATGGCTCAGAGCGACAGTAAGGGCCGGGAGTTCACCCCCACACCCCCGGGCTGCCTTCTGCCTGTAAATGCTGATAAAGCTGAGGGTTGATGTAGGGATTAAAGCTTTTGCTGGAGAAGGGGCTGGGCGTAACTCCCAAAGGCTTCCTGCAAAGTTTAAGAAAAGCTTATTAAAAGCATCTGTCATCAGACTCAGCAAAAAGGGGTCCAGGCCCCAAGGAGACTGGTGCTGAGCTCAGCATTTCTGTGCCAGGATAAACCCCCAGGCCAGGCCCCCGGCCCCGTGGGGATGCAGGGGCCGAGCAGGTCTCTCCCCTCTCCCGCCCCAGTGACCCTGTGCCGCAGCAGAATACACCAACTTCTCAGGATGACAGGCAGTTCTGTAAAAAGATAACGTATTTTCTTCTGCACACAATAGATTCAGCTTATTTCAGTGGTTGATTTTTGTGACTAGTGCTGCATTCTGCCCTAAGCTACCAGTTCAGTTGCTGATCTAATCACGTAACATGGACTAAAAGTCAGTTAAATTTGTCTTAATCCTCATTAAACCATTAGTTAGCTTTACTGATTTGGGTAAAACTTTACCTTATATCCACCACTGTATTAAAATAAAAAAGCAGAATTTGAGCCAATGACAGTGGGTGGGTCATAAATACTTAATATCATTCTGCAGCCAACAAATTAAACTCATTAACAAAGAGACTGGAAACTCATTCTCTTCCTCCAAAATCAGTGTGCAGCTGCTGTACTATAAATTACACTTCAGCACACCTCAGCTTGGTGTCCTTAATGGCAAATGGTGACAAGCTGGTTATAGGGGAACACGGGGCTGCTGCTGAAAGCATTAAAGACTTGGGAATGGAGAGGACAAGTCAGAGTACTGCTGAGCTTGCCTGAAGTGTTAACCTTTAAAATACGTCAGGCAGTAAAACCACCAGCCCTCTAAACATTCGTATTGTTGATAGTACACCTGTATGAAGCGAACCATTAATTTCTGTTAAGTTCACGGGCATTGAACTAAAGAATTTTTCTGCATCTGGCCTTATCTTCAAATAAAATGGCAATCTGACTGAAGACATACTCAAGCATGCCCTACAAAACTAAGAGGAAGGAACACACTGAATTTCCACGCTCAGGACTAGATTTGTTACGGATTTTCTCATACTGTGCATTCATACGAAAGAAAACTAAGCTACCAGTGTAGCACAACCAGACGTCTCTGTGTTAATATTAACCCAGTTATACAAAACAGGCTCTTGTTTCCTGCTCCTCAGAATAAGTCTTGTAAATCCTGAAAGCTCTTCAGCCCACCTACCAGTTGCAAGGACAGGCAGGTGCCTGTTGCTGCAGCGTATAACCATGAGCAGGGTGGTTGTGCCATGATACTGGGAGACATGAGTGATGCTCTGACTCGTGGGGAAGCAGGCAGCCAACTCCTGCAGAGAGCTGAGCCAACACACCTGGAGGGGACCTGCAAAATAAGTTGGCTGCTATAACTGTACCAAATGCAGGAAAGCAAGATAGGATCAGATGAAGGCCTTTGAGGCACTAGGGCCAGGTTAATTTTATAGCACAAGGTCTTTACGTAAGTGTTCTGTAGCTGAAGGACATTTCAGATCACTTACTGCAACATGGCAACAGTGAAAAAGATCCGCAGTGCATGTATTTGCAACTCACTTCTTCCTCTACTCTTTATAGCTCTAATCGATAAACTCTATCAAGTTAGTGTTGACTGATTATTTTGTGCTTGAATTGTCTTTATTTACTTCTATTTTAAGACAGAGGGTATTCTGGTAGGATCAGTTCTCAGTTGATACCTAGTACTAGTTTAGTGGTATGCCAAAACAGTTTGGGTATAAGGTACAGGCAGAAGTGGTCTTTCTAGCCTTTTGCTCTAGCACACTCAACAAACATGAGAAAACTGAGTCCATTATCAATTTTCTACCTTTGGTCTCGTGAGAAATCCTCACAACAGAATTCCTCATGTTCATATTGAAGACATTTATTAATGTTTTATTATTGTGAAAAAACCCAAACCTCAAATTATACAAGACTTGGTTTTATCTGAAGTAATCAAGATTTGGGAAACAGTGTTTAATGGATACTTAAGTTTGTCTTTACAGATCAGGAAACACATGCATCCTCAGAAAGAAAACAGCGCAGAGCTTTGCTTTGTTCCTTGTGCCAGGATCTAGTCTCGGTTCAACATAGATGAATAGTTGGAAGAACAAATCAAACCAAAATAATGGTACCTTTTGTATTAGGTGCTCCCAGGTTTTCTTTCTCTTTTGTTACGAAAGCTCTAGCACTTCTGCAATGCCAAGGTAAATGCTTATGCCAATGTAAAATAAGAGCCCAAACAACTCTTTGGATTTTGGGGTTTTTTTCCTGTCTATAGTCTTAAATCACAGTCGTTGCCAGCGTATCTCAACACTTTCTAACCTCTCGCTACCAGTGTCCTACAACTTCAGGCACTGCATCATGCTATAAGCAAAGATGATGCATATGAGCAGAATGATTAGTTAAAAAATATTTTTGGAGTGTAAATCAAGTGAATTTGTCAGTTTTAATATTCCTGTCTACCCCCAAAACATACATAACTTCGATCCTCCTATGATGCTTTTTGTGCTTCTGTGTTCGAACAGAACAAGCAGTTGCTGTTGCTGTAGGTATAATAGGAGGGATACTCTTATTTGTTCTCATTGGAATAACTGCATACCTGCTCTGGAAGAAATTCTGTTGCCTCCTTTCTTATGAAAAGCTCACCAGTTCTGTCAAAACGACAAGCACAAATGCAGTTTTTCAGGATCAGTCAACTTCTGAAATTCAACTAAAAAGCACAAGGTATGTATTTTTGTTTTGTTTTTAAAGCATACACTATTGGTAATTTATTTCAACTTGTAAAATCTCACAAAGGACTGATCTAAATAAATGCACCTACAGAAATAAACGAGAGCCCTAAATTATATGAAAACATCAGTCATGTTCTCTTTTGTTCCTTTAGGAAACTAATACTGTCTTTATGCATGCAATGATTTTTTTCCGATTTACATAAAAGAGACAATACATTCAGGTGTAATTGATGAATGTATTGCTTTATCTGTTACCTAGACAAATTTGGCCTGTGTTCCACTGTTATTGCTGGTGGTCTCAATGGAGCATCTGAGAACCAAACAATAGGGCTTCGGTTCAAAAAGAAGATTCTCTCAGGCAGTTAGTTACTGCAGGGCTTTGGAGCTCAAAACCAAGCAGCTGCAATTAATTCTTCCTTTCCTTTGGAAGATCAGTTCTAAAGGGAAGAAGTGAGGAATCTGTCTGAAGAATTAAGATCTGATGTCCCTTGCTGGACCTTTAGGCATTATACAAATAAAATCGACTGCAAAACAAGGCATATTTATGTTTTCTACCTGTGCATCTCCATAGAATTTTTACAAAATTATGAGATAAGTAAATTCAATACTGTTACCAAGCTTGGTTCCCATATTTGATCTAGAAGTGTCAGTAGCTGTTGCTGTCTTGAGCAGATCCAGAAGCATTCCATTTATCATTCCTCCAACACTGCACGGACGAGACTGGATTAACCTGACGAAGGAAGGGCACGTTCAGGAAAGCAGTGACCCCTGTGGGATTCCTCAGCCTGGGCCACGCTCATCATTTCATTCTTTGGGTATGGCACTGCAAAAACGGGGCTTTTAAAAGGGGAACTGTATTATTATGAAATATGGTTATTGGGGGCATACCAGACATAGCATTACACAGTACAAGCCCTAAACACTCTATGTATACATATATTTTTTTATATATATAGGAATTCTGGTCCCACTGCTGTGGGACCTAGCAGAGATGGCAAACAGAGCAATCTCACCCTCTGTGTTTTGTACAGGCATAGTGTGAGTGTAACCCAGAAAATGTCTGAGTGTTGTCCCCACAAACAGCAGAGTGACCAGTTGCAGATTGCTGTACCTAGAACTATCAAGGTACAGTCCAGGAATAAAAGAAAGAAAAGTGCAGCCTACAACTACACCAAGTTTGAGGGAAAAGGAATTAAAATACCATGTTTATGCAAAAATGGATTGTTAATAAAGAGATTAATGAGATTTCCCCTCATACAGCAGTAGTTATAAAAATGCCTGCTACGGTCTTAAGACTAATCTGAGCATGCTTCTCTTATTTCATAAAGCTGGAGCTTATGTTGTGGGGACCATTAACCAAGAGCTGTACAAGTTTCCTGAAGACATTAGTGAGACGGATTTTCCTGAAGGCAACATTGGCCGCCTCTGGTTCTCCGTAGAATATGAGCAAGAGTCGGAAAGGCTCCTTGTCTCCTTGATCAAAGCCAGAAAGCTGCAGCCTCCTGATGATTCCTGTAGTCCGTTTGTGAAAATCTACTTGCTGCCTGATGAAAGAAGCTACTTGCAGTCCAAAACAAAACGCAAAACCCTTAACCCGCAGTTTGATGAAAACTTTGTTTTTCAGGTACTTTTCCTTTTGGTGAAGCAGATCTTTGTTTACAAATATTGACTTGTCAAACTACAGTACATGTTTTGTGAAAAACAATTTTCTACAAACTTCTGCCAAGTAGTTTCCACTAGAGATAGGATTTATTACTGGGGCTTCTGCAGGTCTGTGGCTCCAGAACTGATCTTACTTGTGGCCTGCACCAAAGCTGAGGATTCCAGAGCTTGCCCTGGGAATGATTAAAACTCTAGTTTGAACGAGGCTGAACTGTTCATCCCAGCAGCTCTAGAAGTCCAGAAGCAACCAATACTGAACTAATGCTTTCATATAGCTTTTAGTCTCTTTGCTGTGGAAGTAGGCTAGAAACTAAACTCGTGAGATGCCTGGTATGCTGTTTGTATAGTGCTGTGAAGCTAGGAGCTTGGCTTCTTATGCCAAGAGACTTTCAGCAGGTGTCATAATACAAAAAGCTTTAAAACGAAAAAAGTTCATGTTTCAGACAACTGAAAAAGGAATGTTTACAGATTTCTAAACATTTGTGTCTGGAAGTAAATCTGTGTTTTAGCTCGGATCTGTAGACTTCTGCATAGCTAAAACCTTAGGCAAATTCAGAAAGTGGCCTGTAAATAATCGAAGGAAATCCCCACCTACCTTTAACAGACTTTGAAAAAGTCTTCCTTTGAAGTCATGCTAGTTGTTTTATAATTATTAATATATTCTTCCTTTTCCTATACAGGTTTCCAGTAAAATGTTACTACAAAGGACTCTGAAGTTTTTGGTTTATCATGTTGATAAACAGAAGAAGCATCATCTCCTAGGCCAAGTTATCTTCCCACTAAAAAATGAAACATTAACCGATGACAACAAGCTAGTCATATGGAGAGATCTGGAGAAAGAAAACTTGGAGGTAAGTGACATCAGGCTGCTTGGCATTGTGGAACTTCCACCATCTTACAAGTACTGGAGAGGTACAGCTGACGTAGTTGGATCAAATGCAAAAGTATTTGATAAACATTTGGGATCAAAATTCCCATGTTACCAACCTGCAGGTCCATAGCTGTTGGATAGGGATTATCCAACTGCTCAGAAAGTCACGAGTTAGAAGACAGTTACCTAAGAAAGCACCTTTTGTTATTTGCCCCTGTTTTGAGTTAGTAAGAGCAGAAAAAAGCAGAAGAGGCAAGGAAACTGGCATCACCTGGAAGAGAGAGTAATTCAGAGGTTCAGGAAGGCTGATTAATTGGTTCTATCAAGCATCACAACAGCATAAAGCAAAGCTATTCCAATTCACTCACATGCCTTAGTGTGGCAGAAACCCCTAGTATGAAGTAAAACTTCCTCCCCTGCCTTTGTCTGTGTGAAGAGAGTTTTCAGGTGTGTTTGACAAGTGTTCCTCTGCTTCCACAGCCTCCGTCAGAGTATGGAGATATCCAGTTCTCCCTCAGCTACAACGACTACCTGGGCCGTCTCACCGTGGTGGTTCTGAGGGCAAGGGGGTTAAAGCTCCAGGAGGAGAGCCACGCTGTCAGTGAGTGTGATTTCCTCCCTGCTGTCAGCTCCACAATTCCTGTTTTAATTTGCTCCTTCCTCATCTGACCACCCAGGCTTGCGCTGAAAAGAGCACATAAACATCTGGGTGATTTAATTTGGAAACAAGCCATACTTTGTTACTGGGGTAATTAGATTTTGATAGCTCAGTTCTGCTATGCTTTGGTTTTGTTTCATAACAAACAGCTTGTCTTATGTCACCAGTAGCAAATTTATTTTGTCCTGCTTTAACAGAGTGAGCAACATCCCTCTGCTGCACTCCAATCCAGAGAAGGTAGCGTTTCGGGGGATACTGGCATTTACAGAGTTGCCTCAAAGCAAAAGCCCAGAGGTAACAGCTGCAGGACAACTGTTTATGCTGCACAGCTGTCCTGGGGAGACCTGAACAGGGACAAAATTCCCAGTTTAGGTCAGCCTGGCTGTTGTTCAAAGGACCATGGCATGGAGTCACAATTTTCTCCCTTACTGCAGTGGGGGCTTTCCTGGTACGTCATGCTCATGTGTCCTTGCCCTCAGATGTTGAGCGTAGGGGTTGCCTCAAAATGCTATTTAAAACCTAAACACTCAAAAATATAGGTGGAAGAGACAAACTTGTGTTTGAATCTGTAGTGATTTTTTTTGAAGGGCTTTGAAACTAAACAATATAAACACAAACCAGACCCAGCGGTTAAAAAGAAAAAAGAGGTTTAGTTCTCTATATACACACAAGCTATGAAGTTTTTTTGGCATCTGAGTGGGCTGTTACCAGGATGTTTAACTTGAGGAATGATGCCCTCTAAATGAATAAATCTACATTCATAATGTTATTTCCTTTGATAACGCCCTTCAAATATGATTTAGGGTCTACAGATTCTCTGGTAAATCCTGAAGAAACTGGAATTAAAAGTCTTCTGTAAAAGTAATAAGTCAGTCTTTGTGCAAGTAGTTTACATAGTAACTCCATATATAGCACTCAGGTAGCAGTTCTGTTGTAAAAAGAAATCTGTTCTGGTAATCCTGCACCCTCGGAGCTGTAATGAGAGCCTGCTGGATCAGTGGAAGTACCAAGACATTAGGAGTCAGTCCTGACATTTCTAATCATTCTTGCTATACAGATGAACCTTAATGAACTGAATAGCAGGGAGCAATAAACACAGTAGCAGCCTGGAATCTATTAGTGCTCCCCTGGAAAAGAAAATAAAAATTTTCAGCCATCAATTAAGATGAAATTTCTACATGCTTGTCACTAAATTTTGTAGAAGGGTAGGGAAGAATGGAAAATTTCAGGCTGCTTTGGATCTCATCATCAAAGATCTACTGAATAAGACCGTAACACAATACAGGGTCCTTCCAGGAAGCAAAGCAAAATATTTTTGTTGTTCTTGTTCCCACATTCAAGCACAATTTTTGTTGTATTTTCTAGAAGAGCAGAGATCACTGAGCTGCTTCTCAAATTTTCTACAGAATCTCTTACCACAGGGCTAGAAGCCATGAGTACAACTTTTGTTTAAAGATTCTTTGGCTAGAATCCATTCCCCTGAAACGTATCCAACCCCATGGCTCCTCCCTCACAGCCTCCCTGGTGTTGGATCAAACAATAATCATGTGATCAAATACATAAAATTAACTACTGACCCAACATACCAAGCCTTCAAAAATGTCTCCATCGGATGAAGGGAAGGTACAGAACATAAGATCAATGATGCAGGGTAAGTATACGACTGCTCCTTTGAACAGCTCTAGAATTGGAAGGCATACTGCAAAACTGCACCTCTAGTACTTCGTGTGCACTCTGCTTAACATTACGCACCGCCATGCTGCCATGGACATCCCATGAATCATTTGAGATCTAATTTTATACTTACTATTGACTCCTGAAAGCACGAAATTCCTTAAGCCTTCTCCCAGCTGCCTCTGATGTATTTTCTTCTTGAATTTCTTTTTCTCCAAGGTGTGTACGTCAAAGTCTCACTAATGAACCATAATAAATTCATCAAAAGTAAGAAGACAGCAGCTGTTCTGGGATCTCCCAATCCAGTGTATAATGAAACCTTCAGTTTCAAGGCAGATCAGACAGAGCTGGATACAGCAAGCCTGAGTCTATCCGTGCTCCAGAGTACCAAGGGAGACAGTAAGCTATATTCATTATTACAGATGCCAGAAATCTCTTACATATTGCAGAGATATTTAAACCTGGGAGGAACTAATTCCTTTTCAGCGATGATCATAAAAACATATAAAAGGTTTAGGGTATTTCCCAGGCTGTTTCTGTAAAAAGCAGAACAACTTATTTGCAGTAAGTGTATGTCTGTCTTTCAGAGGCTACAGATAAAATTAGTGGAATATGAATAAAATAACTGGAGTCTAGTCACTGTCAGTACAAGGTGCTGTACTTTTGTTCCAGTATCCCAACAGGCTCATGCAATTACGTTCTGTGATTATACACCTGTGTGTATAATCCCCAACTTCCAACATTTTGAAGCCATTCGCTGTTTCTAACCAAATTTGAAAGAGGAATAGGAATTTTAATTATCACAGCGGTTCAAGCAGTGAGAAAGAAGAGAGAGATATTACAAACATCCCCATTCCCTGCCAGAAGACCTGATGCCTGAGGTCACCTCTTGCTAATTGTCAGAGAATCCATTAAGCATTTCTGCTTACAGAAGCAAATCAGAATTAAATGACTTCCATTGCTCACAAGGAAAACATCTCCCTGCATTACAAACATCATCTCAATAACGAGACATTAAAATGCTTGTTTGGATTCACACACTCCTAAAAAGATTCCTTTCAGGTGAGATTTAGGCCTGAACTGACTAAATACTCACTGCAGCACCTTTTAATGCTGAATCTCAGCATGCAGAAACTACAGAACTTGAAATCTAGAGTGAATTCCTTGATGAAAATTTTGATTTAAAGTAACTTTCAGAACATTCATTTAAAGAAATACAAGTTAATATTCTAATTTAGGTAAGGATTTCAGAGAAGCACTCACAGGTGCTAATCACTAATTGCTTTTTTTTCCCCCCAGAAACACATCTGCTAGGACGTGTAGTAGTTGGGCCTTTCATGTACACTCGTGGCAAAGAGCTAGAGCACTGGAATGAAATGATCAGCAAGCCCAAGGAGTTGGTTAAACGATGGCACACTCTCTGCCACAGCACGTAAACAGCACGGATAAAAAAACCTTAACGTGGAAAAGCTCTTGCTATCTTTCATAATCTAATGATAAAGGGTACAAAACCTTTGACCCTTTATACTCCTATGTAGACAAGAATAAAATAAGTAACTTCGTTCCTTGCTCCAACACAAAGAGAAAACTTAGTCCCTGGTAGGCTGGAACTCTTTATCTTTCCTCTCTTCAAAATATATTTCCAATTAATTAACATGCAGAGTAAACAAAACAGGAAGACAAACACGATCTCTCAGTATTCGTTATTTTGACTAGTAAATTCCAATTTGTGGTTGTGAGTTCTGGGCACAAGTGATCATCCATTGTGGCTAGAACCCAAAATGACCCCAAAATTGTCACTGATACCAGGCTGAACTCCCCACGGCATTGCATCACCCCAGACAGAACCTTCATCCGAAGGGCCGGAAGCCCAGTAAGCATCCGAAACAGACCGAAGATGTTGACTGACTACTAAATTTACAATTTATTTAAAATAGCAGCATTGTATTTAAAACCTCTTCCGCACACGGTTGGTGAAAAGCACTGATGGTTTAGTGATCGCAAAGCCTAGGAGCCCCTGTTCCCAGCACAGGGCATTTCTTGCAGTAATTCAGTTGGATCTTGCCAGCCGACCTCAACGTACACCACTTGGGAGGGAGACAAATAACAGAGGCCCTGAGGTGACAAATCACTGAGGGCTTGCAGGAGCACTGGAGTACTCTGAGAACGCAGTGGAAGGGACCTGTCCTCTCCTTACATACTTCTCCCTAAACACGTCTCTTGGAGATGGAACACTGATACAGAACCTTGGGTTTTACCTGTATGATCATTGTTACAGTGAAAATCCAATTAGCTTAACCCCCCAGGACATACACCTGGTTTAGTGGTAGAGTTTTCTTTGTTAATTACTCTTCTATAAAATAATTCAGAGCAATTGTTTTTAATCAGGACGTTCTTCTCTTCAGCCTGTTTTCGCCAAGTCACATGAAAATAAAAAGTGCTTTTACAGTGAGTGAAATTCAGTCATTGCAAGTCTCTTGAATCCTCCTTTTACAAAGCTGTGATTACCTTTAGCACAATTCATTGACAGTAGCAAAATTAAGTTTTCATTCTTGATCATCAGATGAGGACGCTACAGTTAGTCTCTTCTGTGAGTCGTTTCTCCCTTGCCCTAAGCTCAACTTTGTGGAATTTATCATTCCTCTACAGAAACTCCTCAGCGTTTCCTTTGTATAAGGGGCTACCTGGTTTCTTCTGGAGATTCTGTCCTCTGGAGACTCTGTGCCTCATCTGCACACCAGCAGCGAGCGGGTTTTGGGGTCTGCCCAATACTCCTCTCAGCTATCCTGGCACAGCAGGAAATTGATTTGGCCCACGTAAGATCAGCATTTCTATGCTCGTTGACAAAACTGGCTGTCTCAGACAAAAATACTGGGGAATTATTTTATCACAAGAGGGCTAGGGCTTAAACCAAAGACTAAGGTTGCTATAAGAAGCAGAGCTGCACAAAACTTGTTTGATCAACAGAATCTGACCAGACTGATCAGCACACAAGTAGTTAAATACAGAAATAAGTGACAGTGTGAAGCTTCAGCTGAGATCTTACTTCAGTCATCCAGTAATCCTTAGGATCCTAAGATCAGACTGATCAGAAATATTACTGCCTTCCCCTTTATTGGTACACATGGCTTACACAAAGCTCTAACCAACATCATTAGAAACCCAACAGTCCCAAACTGGTTTCACAAGATACAAGCACCAAGAAACGTGGGTACTCAACTGTGAGCAGCCACTTCCAAGAAACAGCACGTGAAAGCTGCTCAGCCGTGTGACTTGCATTATAATACATGTGACAACTTGATTGATCCAGTTCAGTTTTGAGAACCATCCTGTGTTCGAAGTCTGAGGACAGCTGAAACAGTGTATGCGGAAACTGATTTTGAAAATGAGAACGCTGCAGGTAAAGATCTGCAAGGATCTACCCAAACAAATAAGATTCACCCCACACAGTTTTTACCAGCCTCTCTAAGATGCACAATTTATATCGGAGAAAAATACTGACCTTGGTATTTAATTGCTTTTGCAGAGTGCTTGTTACATCATGAAGTCGCATGCAGCCATCATTTACTGATAAGAATCACTATCAGAACACACTACAGCTTTAACAAGAATTAAATTAATTTATAAATCTGATCAAGTTGGGAGAAAGTTTTGCAGACCAGCATTAAACTGATTAAACTGGCTTAAGGTGATTATTTGCCAGCTTATGCTAGATAAAGACTACAACAATAAATACTACAACAATTAAATCATTTAAAGGGCCCATGAAAGTGCACCAGTTTAAACTGTTTAAAACCACTTAATTAAATTTGTGCAATAATTTCTAGATTAGATTCAGTGAGACAGTTTGGTTTACAAGAAAAAACAAAGGGCAGCAAAATTGCTGATGGTAAATGGCAGAAATTCTGCTGTCAGAAGAAAAGCAGCCACAACAGCAAAGGAAAGCCATAACCAAGTTACAGATAGACTATAGGATGAGACAAATAAAAATCTTATAACTAAATATTACTGAATTGTGGCTGTCTTCCTCTAATCTGTCGTATCTGAGAAAAATTCAGTCTCTCAACACTAGTGAGCTTTTCTGGGGAGAAAAAGACAACAAATACTTAATAGGAGTTTATTAAGATAAAAATATGTATAAAAATACACTTTATGGCAATTTATCAGTATTCCAGCAGCGTATACACTATTAGCAGATATTTCATAACAGTCCTTTTGTTGTTTTTTTTTTTGTATAAGTTAAAAACAAAGTCCTTTCTTGTACTTTTAAAGAGATTTGATTCCTTGAGATAATTCATTTTTCTTCTGTTCACCATCTGTATGTTCCTACGGTCCCTGTGAGTTACTTACTGCAGGGGTCAACGCTTCAAAGACCAGGATGAAAATCTAGCAGATGGAAATCCTTTTCCAAAGGATAGCTGTTTTCATCTAGCACAAAATGGCTCCGAATTTCCAACAAGTAGGATGCTTCTGTATCTGCGAGCAGGCAGTGACACAGATCTGCGACTACTGTGCCGTAGGTCACATCTGAGGAGGGCACTGCAAAAGGACAGGACAATGAAAACGGCTCTATTTTCACAATGGCACCTAACATTCAGGTTCCACCTCCACAAAAGCTACAAGGATTCACTGGAGTGCAGCTCAACATCTGAATAGAAAACTAGATTTTGTTTTTGATAATTTTTTAAAAATAATGTGCTATGACTATTTCTCATTAAACTGTAACACCCGTGAATCATGTAAAACACTTCTCAGGAAGTCAAATGGGATGCATCAAGGGAACCTGTCTGAAACACTGCTTATTTACAGCATGAAAGCACGTCAGCTATTTCTAAAAACTAAGAGATTCTATTCTGCATAGAAGGAATCCATTTAATTACTGAATACTTGGTGATATATGAAATGTCCATATCTCATTTCTTGTTGCTCTCTCAACTCTGAACTTCTGAGTTGGTCAGACAGCAACTGAAGTGTTCTCCTTGAGGTTGGGTTTTTTGTAAGTCTCATACAATACGGGTAGTTATCTTATTTCCAGAACAATCTCATCCCAATTCTAAACTTTCAATAATTTAAAATTTTACTTCCATTGGGAATGTTGCTGCCTGTTTCTATCACAAGCCATTCATGAAACAGTACCTACTAATCTGTTCAGCCAGTCTGCAGGAATATTGAGGAAGATTTTTTCTATCAACTCAGACACCACATGAACATAAATTTCATATCCTCCATCTTCTACTGTCATCAAAGCAGGTCTAGATCAGAAAACAAAAGACTCTTGAAAGTTAGCTGCTAAGATTTTTGACTGAAGCAAAATATCTGACTGAAAGCAATAAAATGTACTATCGCCCCGCAACATAACACCAAGAATTAGAAAATCTCTGTGCATTCATCTCTGTCAAATCTGCAGAGCTGGAATGAGTTTGAGATACATACACTGAATTTACCACTCAATGTTCAAATAACTTCTAAAGCTATCAAGTAAGCCTTACTTACAGACAACTGCAGAAAATAATGCTTTAGCAATTGCTGGAAGACGAAAGCCGCACTGTTATGAAATTGGTGTCATGTATGACTTTGAGCTTTAAATATATAAAGTATAAATGTGAATAAGGCAGTAAATGTACCTACAAATACACGCGGTGTACATAAAGATTTGAAATGCAAAGGAGGGACACAAGCTCAGGTCTATCACTGGGAATTGTATCATCTGTATCAGCATCACCTAAGATTGTCTGTCAATCTACAGCTTCAGAGCCACTCCACAATACCAAGGCAGTATCTCTTGTACTGGGACAGATACCAGATGGTTTTATCTACCACTGCACAAGCATAAGTCCCTCCTCTTCCTGGCAACCATTTTCTACAGAGGATATGGTCTGCAGACTTCCTACTAGTTCCGAAATGAACCTGGTGAGGGGCTGCTCTCCCACAGGCACTGGTCTTCCCAAATTTTGCTGTTTCACAAGATTCAAAAGCGATGCTGGATAACAAGCCATTGGTACGAAGCAATCATTTTTTCAGTACAGGTATTCCCCATATTTCAAGTGTTTGTCTCTGCAGCCTGTCATTGTTGATGCCATACCTCTTATTGCTCCTCCAAGTAATTCCTTGCTATTGGTTTTTGCTACACTTGTGTGAGATGATGAAACTCTTAGCAGTCCTCTATAGTGTTGTTCAACAGGTAGTTTCTGGTTGCTTTCAAGCTCCTGAGCGATTTTACTAAGCCTAATTGTTTATACAGCTGATGCAGGTTCTACCCAACATATGCTCTTTTTATTGCTAGTAATAGAGCATAGTGAATTTACTCCTCCTCATACTGAGGGATTCAAAGCAATCTGTGATAAGAGAACATGAATCATCAAACTACAGAAAAAAATGTAACTTTCTGCTAGTTGTGCATACAGTTTTATAAACAAGACTATCGCTAACCACTGACATTACCAAGCTGCTGAGCAGCACGATACTGCTAGGACAGCGTACTTGGTTAATAAGTTAATTGCATTTTAACAAGATGTTTCTTTAGCAAGATTTTTCTCCTGTTAAGAAGTAAATGTACTAAGTTACCCTGCAGTACAGAATCTGGAAGCACTACCAAGGAGATGCATTCCTACTAAACTAATCAGAGCAAAATTTCAGTGCAAAGTTGACAGACTTTTCTTTGAAAATTTTTAAGTTCCACATCAAGGTGCGTTCACATGCTGAGAGTACAAACATGGAAAGTCTTTATCTTTTTTCTATCACTTTTTGTGCAAGAGTGAACGTCGGCCTTTCAGGACCACACGAGAGGTCCTAGTCTAATGAAAGAGAGGGGGAACCTTTTCAGTTAAGAAAAAGCTTTGCACTTAATCCTCTCATAGGAAATAAATAGCATATAAACTTAAAGATGCAAGACTCCTTTGCATAGAAGAAAAACACATTCACTAACTTACTTGGCTAATGAGATTCTAGTACTTAAAGCCAAGTGAGAAACTACTGACTATGCCATGATTCATGAAACTCACTATGAAACAGTTTAGGAATAATTTTAGAAAGAGCTTTAATAGAAAATTTACATATTCTAGAATTCTATTATGTCTGTGACAGTCTCAGCCTTCTCCACCTACACATCTTTCAAGTCACTATGATACTTATATTTCAGAAGCCCAAGATAAATTTAAGACTTGAACAATTAGTTAATAATGTTGCTCCTCTATCAACTGGATCTGTTTAGTTTATTTTGTCTAAGTATGTGCGTGTACATCTTGTCTCACAGTGCCATCTGCTGATAACTCACTATCTCTACTCTCTATGAGAATGTTTATTGAAAACTGTTAATATTCTGCAAGGCTAAAATTGATTAATCAGTTTACAAATATGGTTGTGCATTCACACGATCTCAAACTGAGCCTGAAACAAGATGCCCAAGGAGTTTTCTGTTGGTCCTCAAGGTTCTACTCCAGCTTAGTGACACGGTACTGAGTAAACCTTGTACGGTATGATGTAGTATTCAAAGAAATTAAAAAGTTAAATAATGGAAATATAATACAGCAATTCAAGAACAGCTCTTTGAAAATTCATTAGAAAAACAGGAATTGCTAACCACACCTTAAAAATACAGCATTTTAAACATGGGGGAACTTAAAATGGAGAAAGTTGTAGTTTACTCCTCTAACAGTACACATTATTTTAGCTTTATTTAGTTTACCTGTAGAAGGTTTTTACTTCGTTGTATGGCAAACATCTAATACACTGCTGGTAGATCATGTTCTCATCTGCCTGTAGCTCCAAACCACATTTAGCACAACCTGAATATGTTATCAAAGGCAGAGAAGCCAAAACACGCTCCAGGGATGTGTCAGCACAGAAGCTGAGTTGCTTGTACTGACCCGTTGAAATGGTGAACTTCAGTTCTGAGATACGGGCTTTCACCTGCATCACTCCTAAAAAACAACGACTTCCATCAGAATGACATATATTTTTATTATAACTGAAAACAAAAGCAGGAGTTACAGCTGATTCAAACCCAAAATAATTACCAATAAAACTCTGATTTTTTTTTTTTCCCTTTAGCAGGACATACTCATATATTTAGAGATCATTTATGCATTGAAAAATCACTGTGCTTAAATATTATTTAACAACGTGTGGAAGTACTGCATGTTCAGGTACTGTTGTGGTAGATCCCACTATAGAAGAGCCTGAATAAAAGATCAAGAAATTAGAATTGTCCAAGTAATTTCCAACTGCTTTTCTTACATGTTAATTCGGAGACACTGAAAAGCTCAGCTTTAACAACTTACCCTTCCACTATTTAGACATAAACTAGAGTTAAAAGCTGCAACACCAACTTTATTTAGTTACTTCTTAATGCAACACCAACCTTAGCAATCTTCTAGATTTATCTGGGAGGGGGTGACAGTGTAAAATGCATTCTTTGTTCTTTTGTAACAGGTTTTCAATAGTAGTTTTTACTTTACTCTTGCTTTAGAGAATTCCATTTTTGGAGAAATACTATTTGACAAACTTTCAGTGATTAAGCCCATCATTACTAGACGGATTGGCATGGAAAACAAAAGGCAGCACTTCTCCCTGCGTTCCAAAGCACCAGACACACACCCCTCACCTCTGGGCTCAGTGAAGGAAGGCTGCATTCACACCTCAGCTGGCACTGAGCAGCCTCCAGAAGAAATTCAGACTCCCAGAACTAACTCCCAGACTTCAGACTCCCAGAGCTAACTTAAAAACACACCAGCATTTTATTCGATCAACAGAGCATCTATTTTGCTCCGTCATGCACTGCACAGCAGACACTGCGGAGCTATGGGTAACAACTATACCTGAGCATTTTTCCTCCAGATGTGCTGAGAGCCTTGTCATCTGCAGAACGGATTTTTTGCTTTTCTGAAACTTTTCCCTAAATTCAATTGCCCTTTTGTCATCATCAAACAAGCACTCACAGGACGACCATGGAGTTGTGTGCAGTTCAAAGTCACCCGAGACAGAACTATGTTGGACCAGAAGGTATTTGAAGTCCCATATGTGATCTACAGAACAAAAAAGCAAACAGAAGAGTTTACTTTCTCTAACCTGGTTAATTTATAGAAAACCAGAGTCACAAGATTGAGAAACAAATCAGCAAGGCATTCCCATACGGCGGGCTCTGGCAACTTTATTTCAGATGAATTTCTGATGACATTGGGGTTTTTTACTTTCCTTATAAACTTTGCATGAGCCCTCCCATAACAGAATGAGGCTTTTATTTCCTTTGTACTGAATTCAGCTTTCAAGACAACTCAAATTTTGAAAAAGAAAACAGTTCTGAAATTTCCTGTCAGCCCTAATAAGGAGAAGCTGGCAACATCTAGAAAAAAAATATTTGTGTTATTAATCAACTTCCATCTTTAACACATCCCTGGTTTTCACTCTTTTACTTCCATAAAGCTCTGATTTTTAAAATATTTCTTTTCTTTCTTCGAATTGATTCTATAATAAAAAACCCCACCTTTAAAGTGGAGATTACAGAAGAGTAATACATTTTGTTTTGTCCTTCACTTTGTTATAAGAAGCCAGTATTCACCTACTCATCAAATCTGAAAACCATTTAGGCTACTTTTTCCCATGTTTGCTCAAGCTGAAAGTTGCAGCAAAAATAATCAGTTTTGGAAATAAGGTTAGAAAAAAACATTTAAAAAATGCATTAAAGTGTCTGTTTAAGCATTTTATTAGCATGTTTTAACACTTTCATATCTTTGATTATCTGATTTTTGGTGGTAACTTGCTAAAACTGCAAGCTCCCAAAAAGTTTGCTGTCAGAGTGTTTTATATTAAAATACTCAAAAAAACGTTCTCTGAGCATCAGTCTAGTTTCATGCACCTCTTATCTGACCAGAGATCTTGCAGCCCCCCCGAACTGAGTATGCTCCAGTCCAAAGCAAGATTCAGCGGTAACTACAGCAACAGTGAGAGAAAATCGAAACAGGAGGAAACAAAGAGGCACTTTGCAAGAGGACCCATGTACAAGAATTAGAGGACAGAGTCATGCCCGTAACTAGGGTACAAGATTTGGCTGACAGCTGAATTTAACCTGTTATTCAGATCTTTGACATTCCCCTGCTGATTAGAAAACTGATCACAAAACGTGAGTAAACTATAAGTAACTAAGTTTACAGAAATGCATTTAATGAAATAAATCTTCTTTTGGTAATCTAAACCAGATGAGCATAAAGCATGGACTGAATGTCTGATGACTGTACACTGGAAGATTAGACTGATTTTTAGCAAGAGATGAAAAAAATAATTAACTTTTACTGGAAACATTTTTTAGATGCTCTGGAACTGTTCAGTCTTACAGTTTTATGTAGACAGTTTAAATTCCAAGTCTCCACACCCTCCTCTACCAGCCTGTGGGGTTTCCAATCTGCTCGTAGAACCAGGAAGCACACCCCAGAGCTGTGCTGTGGCTCCCAGCCAGGGGGGACGTCGTGCACCTCCCCACACCACCGAGCTGTGTGCTATATATGCTTTAGTATCACGTGCATTTATCTTTTCGGCTGTCTTACTGGGATCAATGTTCACAGCTTGTGATTAAGTATTTGAAGAGTTGAGAAACCACTCACATGGTGAGTTTCAGATAATCCTTTGAAGTGCCAACTGCTAGATGCACAGAACACCAGCCGGAGAATAAGACAAAGCTCTACATCAGATATAAACAGCACTACAGAGCTCTCCATCCTACACTTTCCTGCTTTAAGCATCAGAGATTTGTACTAGGAATTAGCTTCAGTATCTTTTTTGCAGCTACAAAAAATTTAAAATTCTCTCTTTTGAAAAGTGTAATACTCCAGCATACCGAATCCTGTAAGATTTCTAAGCATCCAATGAACAGTATATACTTGCTCACCCTGAAGTTTGCAGAAAAATAAGAGCCATGGAGGGATGTAATAAAGTTAATTGGTTAATGCTTAAATTAGACTGGCTTCTTCAAGTAGTTTAGAGGTAGGTCTTGCAGTTAAATGATTTCTAGGAGTGGAGATTACTTATAAACTGAAGTGGAACTGGCAGAATTCACAGTGTCTACATTTAATATGTAAAAATTCACTGTGAGGTTGTTTAACCTCTCTGGGTTTTATTTTGCATGACAAAAACTGGCTTTTTAGACAGACATATTCAGTGCTTCAATTAATACAGCATTTACTTCCTGAGTGTATCCCTTGATCAAAATACAAACTCTTTAAGTTATTAGTTTAACGAAAACCTAGTTTCACGTATTTTAAAAGAACAAAGCCAAGAATAAAACAAAATTCAGTAGCAGTCACTGCTAAAACATAGTCTATGTAATTCTTGCAAGAGATGCTTTTAGTCAGTGACAGCTGGACTTGAGAGCAAGACCATTAGGATATAAAGCCTGACAGTGTAGTGAAGGGGCAAGCAGAGACCGAACACCAGAAGTATCAGACCCCAGCAATTCACGCTAAATTAGACAGTGATAAGCCTCAGCAAAACTGCTAACGCAGCTAACACTCAAGTTTTTGTTTAAATTCACATAACTAGGCACCAGTGCGTATCGCATCTAGGTTCAAGTTCCTAAATCCTCGTGCTTTATCAGTCTTCCCAAGTGAGTGGATTCAAATTCTACGGCTAACGGCGCCGCTTCTGAACAGAGACACGTTAAAATTGCTATCAAACACGTTGCCCTTCCAATGGGAGTGTTTAAAGGCTGAACGGAGAAGTGTCACCAGCTGCGCATTTTAAAGCTATTAATAGCATCAAAGTCCTTTTACAGCCACCCAGAGGTACAAGGCCTTTACCTTTTTTCCTTTGAAGCTGAGGACACCAGGCAGCCCCTGCTCCCCACAGCACCATCCTATAGTGTTGATCTCTCTTCTGTTCTACTGTTAGAACAATTTTTCTTTGGTTGCCACCTCTGTAGCTATACACAGATTCTGAAAAAGTTTGAAATTATGACTTCTATAGTGAAAAGCATATAAACACACAAACCCCACATGCCTCGGTATTAAGATGAAATCACGCTGCTATCTATTTTATGGTACAGTTATAAGCAAACTGAGAATACATCTACAATTTCTTCAGGACAGAATTAAAGTAATCCGATTTTACCGGCAACATGAATCTACTCTGAAGGAATGCCTAAAGTATATGAATTTACCTTTATCCACCTAAATACTCAGCAGCTGGACACCTCCCTTTGAAACAGCAGGTATCTGAGCATCTTTCAGCTCCCACTCATCCTGACTGGTGTAAATGGAAAGAAATTGCACTCGATCTCTCATCAACAGACTATCATAACTGGAAGATAAAGTCCTGTAAGTTCTGTGGAATATACTGAAAAAAACATCTCTTGAGAAGTTCTAACATAAAATAAAGCTATAGTCATGCACAAGCACACTGAAAGGATTAGTAGCAGTACATACAAATTGGAATGATTAGGATCTCTAAAGCACTCTTACCTAGGATACTGCCTCTAAGTTTCAGTTCCATGCTAAAACATTTTTCATAAATAATTTTTGAACAAGTCGTCTTGCTTTAAATATCTAACAGTTCTGAGATTTATGTACAATAATAAATTATGAAGATTTCTGTCTTCAAAATTCTCCATTTGTAATGCATACACATGATACTGACAGCATGGGTAAAAATCTGAATCTTACTAATACAAGATGATAGTGCAATATGATCAAATTTATGGTAAAAGCTTGAAGTCAAGCACTGAGAAACAGTGGTACTGTACAGAAAAGATAACTGGAACAGGTATGCTGGTAAAAGAGACAAAGACTCCTTTTCCAGGTGGGAACAGCTGTCTAACTGCCCAAAGTGTGTTAATAAACACAGCAAGATACTGCATGAAATACTGAGAACGCCCCAGGGTGATTTGGTTCTGTTCATTTCAAAAGGTGGAGAAGATGCTGGGAAGCAGCTGTAGGGCCTGACTCTGAAGAAATGGAAACAAACCATCAATTTGAACATGGAAAGTTGCTTCAGCAAAAGTAATCCTGAAATAACTGCATTCATTATTAGAAAAAAAGGAATCTGTGACAGAAGAATAAACTCAAAAAATCAGTACGTGGACTGTTGACCATGATCCTTTGGGGAGAGGGTCTGTACAATAAAAATATACAGGAAACCCAGATTTCCCAAACAAATTATATTAATGAGGGAGTGCTCTGTTGTGCCTGTGTAGAAGAAATAGGAGTGTCACAGCAAGACATCTTAGTAGCATCACACTGTGCATTTTCCAGTGTTAGAAATCAAAAAGAACTTTTAGAAAAAGGCACACAAGTAAGGATTATCATAAAGCAGTGTTGCACGTATTGAAGAAACCAGGAATGCTTAGCTTTAAAAATCTATTCTAAGTAGGAAAAAATAGAAAGAAATAAAATAGAAATGTTCCAAATAAAACATTAGAAAAGAGCGACAGAATCCCATTATAAAGTAAGAAAGGCAAGAAAATTTTAAAACATTAAAATATTCAATAAGTTATTTCATACTGAATAACACATGATTTATAGTGCAGCCAAATTCTCCTTCAATGACAGGATGCTTACAGGGAATGTTGTCTGCAGGTGGATTTTCAGTTAGTAAAGCTGGACTGTATCCCATTTCCTAATCAGGCAGTGGTCCATAACAACGACGCATCTCTTAAATATGTTTTTAAGGGCTCTTGAAATTCGTGTTCCTCCACCGTAACTGCAGTACCTCCCTCTCTCAGCACTCCTGCTTTACACACTTATCTTCCCTGAATGGAAAGGGAAGGAACCAGAATTGCTTTGCAAAATTACTACTGAAGTTTTACCTGTTGTTGAAGGTTTGGAAATGGAAGTCCAGTGTGTGAACTCACCTGTTAATACAGCAATGTTGATAATTTTCAAGATTGAGTGAACCAATATATTTGGCTGGAGCTGGTCTAGCTGCATATACTGAACACTATCCAGTCTCTGAACTTGTCTGCGTGGAATGTCTTCAAAGTGTGGAAATGCTGATGATACGTATGACAATAAGCCATGGAGAACACCACCATCCACTATAGGATAGACTTGTACGAAAAAACAAAGTTAAAGGGACACCCTTTTTTTTTTTTTTAAGCTTAAGAGTATAAAATTTATTGGCTGGTACATATATACACTGACAAAACCAAAATCATTTCACAATAATTCTAAGAGAAGAAATTCTTGAGACGTGTTAACGCTTGAACCAAAATTAAACTTTACTTCATCTGCCTCCTCTCAATAACATCGCAAAGTTAAACTAAGTACAACATTTTAAATCACACCAAAAATACGACAGAAATCTTGTATCATAGCTTGGCTAGAAGACTTTCTTGACCTCAGAACCTGCCTTAAACAGCTGGCAACAACAGACACAAGGAGGACAGCAAGAACGATGCCAGTTCACGGTGATACGTCCCCTCAGTCTCCAACCCTCCGTGGCTCAGGTATTTTTACAGACTTTGTGCTTAATAGCCTGCAATGAATTACCTTCCCTCAATGGATCCGCTTCCTCCTTAAGCTTCTTAAGGTTTTTGCAAAAAATTTAATCCCCATGAAATCTCAGACATCTTATGGTTGAGTCCTGGGATAACTGCTCTTCCAAACTAAGCTCAAAGAATTCAGTTTTTCAGAGTTTTGAGTGGTAACCACCCACCTCGACCATAAACTCCACATGGCTATCTGGTATCACCACGTCCACATCTTGCCCACAGGTGTTCCTGCCATACCTGGCTATAGGGTTTTGTACCTCTCATTTGCTCATATTACCGTTTTATCCTCTGTATGAGGCATCGTCAACAAAACTGAGTATTTTAAACAGCTATTTAACTGTGATTTTTGTGGAAATGTATGCACTAGGATCTTACATTCTTCTGGATTGAGCGCTGAGCAGTTCCCCAGATTCAGTAGCTGACTGGTAAACGTAGATTGCAGCATCATTTCTCCACACCAGAGATTCTCATACACTATTATATCTGCAAGAAAAAAAAAACCTTCTCAACAACATTGAAGCGTATCATACTTTCCTTGCCTATACCACCATCACACTTACAGGTGTGAAAGACAGTTTGGAAGAGACCCCTTGGAAACAAAGGGGGTTTTTACATCTATCAACACCATTTACAATGAGTTAAGGAAATTTTCTCAGTAGTTTGATGTAATTCCTCATTTCATATAAAATATTTAACAGCCTCAGAGCAGATGCTGTATAAGTGAAGCAGCTGGCTCTGCTGGGTAAATGATTACTGTGCAACATTTCCGAACGAGTAGGAAAGTACTAGGCTTACCTAGAAACACTTCTGATGTATTTTGAGTTAATAATGTCTAAGCAGAAGAGGCCCAATTTATCTTCAATCTCTTTAAAATATCTACATTTGCACCAACCCATGAGCACTTAAAGAACCTTAACATAGAAACAGGCATCTTAAGCTGCAGAAATATTCAAGCAATTTTATATTGCGTCAATTTTTGCATATTGCAAAACCTAAGAGGCCAGACAACTACCAAGTTCTGCTCAACTCCAGCCCTAAATTAGGTGCAACGTTGTTTTTATGGTACTGCATCCTCTTACATGAGATGTGTTTCCTTGGAGAGCGTTTTGCTCCTGTTCAGTAATAAAGAGTACAAAGGATTTATCAAGAGCAATCTTCCTTATTAGCTGACATGGTATGAAAAAGATGAACTGCAAACAGCATTTTATATTTCTGTCAGTCACTAATTCACAACATGATCCATCTCAAGGCACTAGTGCTAAGCTACAAAGTCCTTCACAGGAGGAAATTTCTCATTCTGAGACAGAACATACCATAATTTTCTGATCCAGCTGCTGGTTCAACAGTAGAGAACCACAAAAAAAAGTCCATAAATTAAATAATTAACACATGTTCAAAGTGATGTTGACTGAGTGATGTTGAGCCATGTAAGTGATGCAAGGAAGACACTTAAAAATCCTGAGCTGTAGTTCCAAATTACTGGCTACATACTGTTCCACTGTGAAAAGGTATTTTAAAAAAAGCAAATAAAGAAATTCTCACCTGTAAGCAGGACAATATCCCCAGGAAACACAGTGAGTGACCAAAACGCAGCACCCCGCCACAGCACCACCTTTCTCTCCATTTCTGACTGGTCAATAACTACAATTGTTGCTACAGGAACTTTACATGAAGATTTCGGTCTAGTCTTCACCTGTATTTCTTTGATATGACAAGGATGTACTATTGTGACCAAAACATTGTACTTCTGATTTTTGCAGCAGCAGTTCTTAAGTGGTGATAGTTTCTTTTGAAGTTTCTTGAACTCTGTCATCTTTTCTTGATCCACTCTCACTCCAGGACCAGCTGGAGAAGAATTCAGCTTCGCTTTCTTTGAATTCAGCTGTCTTGTGAACGTCGAGTGAAAAACATGAAGGGAATCTTCACATTTGTGGGCTCTTTTAGAAGAGCTCCTATGGGAACTGTCTACTTGGGAGCACAATATTCCTGAGCTCACTGGCTGGATAAGGATTTCATTTACAAATTGCTCATCAGGAACATTAAGTTCTTGAGATGTCTCTGTGTTTTCATGAGCATTTCCTTCTTGTTTTGTAGCTTTGAGCCAAACGTCTTCCCCATCACCCTCAGAACTGAAAAGTTCAAGGGAACTTGTATGCTCTTCCTTACATTCATTTTCTGCCACATTAAGACAAGTTCCAACATCAGAATCAAATTGGAAGCGATCATACTGCCTGTCTTCAGGTTTTTTGCCTGCTTCTGTTTTCAGAAGCTTTGTGATTTTCTGCATCTCGTCCCGACCCCGTGCAAGAAGAGCCATCTGACTTGAGGTCACTATACTACGAAATTCAGTATCTGCTGACACTGCAAAGTCTGAACAATCGCTTGGTTCTCCTTTTGGTTTTGACTCTTGAATTTGGGGGAAAAATGTATCCAGATATTGTCTCAGATGTTCATGGTGATCGCTTCTACGGTCTAATTGATCACCTCGTCCCACAGACCTTAGATGTATGCTGATCTGCTGCGCACTGGCAACCAAAGCAGAAATGTCAGAGCCGATAACTTCTGGAGGACTGGCTTTTCTTTCAGTGGGGTTTGAACAGCCGCCATGTGATTCTTTGTCTTGCCTAGCCAACTCTGCAAATTTTTGTGGAAGGTGTTGATCTGCAGCCTGACTCACATTCGCATGTGAGCATCTATCTTTAGATATCTGACAATCAGAATAAATTAAACTTCCAGTCTTTTTAGGTATGCTGGTACAACTTCGTGCCACAGGTACAGGAGATGATGTCAGGTATTCTTTTGCTACCATTAATCTCTCCTTTTCAGACTGCCAAGAGCTGCCATCATTTGTAGGAACTGCTGTGACTACAGAGCTTTCCACCTGGAACACTAAGTGGTCAGCACCTTTGACTTTCTCAGAAAAATTATTATGTGTATCACACAGACAGTGGAGTTCTCTCCATTTTTCAGCAGCAGGCACTGAACTACTTCGCTCTGACACATGCAGAAGGCTTGGAATACTGGGTGCTCCCACAAAAACATGAATTTGAGGTCTTTTTGACATTTTTGATTGCTGTGTAAGTTTAAATTTAAATTGGTTTATGCAGTAAGCATGACACAGAATATTAGTAAATGCAAAATAATATATTTGGCCTTTTCTTAACAATTTAAAAATACCTCAAATTCGAAGGAGTATTCCATGTTTAACTGGTAAAAACACAACCTTGCTACTTAAAGCCTACAAAAATCAAATTGAAAAATGGAAGTTACTTCTTGTGTCATGCTTGCATAGAAAAATAAATTTACAGTAGGGCTTAATTTCTGATTCTGATACTTGGAAACACATGGCAGATGCAGAATTATAGTGAAGTTCAATTTAATTATTGAGCAGACATCTTCATTTATTATTTATAATTAACCAGTCAAATGTGAATTCACTATTCAGTCCCTCATTTTAATTCATGTGAAATAAATGCCTGTGAGAAACTTTCACAGCATGGTTAGGAGATCATTTCATCTCCCCGAAAATTACAATTTCAACTAAATAATTAAAAAGAATAGAGCTATTCAAAATTAGTTCAAAAGTTTGCTAGAAATGCAATATTTTACATGCTATTTTAGCATGAAGATACTGTATTGATTATTTTATAAAATGTTTCAAGATATTACTGATAAATTACAATTATTTAATAAGCGCTGAGATGAGTGAAACTTGAGCAGATGATTTAGAATTTAATTCATTTAGATAGTATCATACTACCCAAGAAGTTACTAGCTTTTCTAACTAATTAAAAATAACCCCACCTTACACAGCACAAAAGACCCTTTATTTTCTTTAATTTCTGCTATACTATAATTTTAAAACACTCAGCTACACCTACAGGTGTTCATTAAAATGCAGACACCTAGCTACGTGTTTTGAGTGTGTTGTTGATAGAAGTTGCTGCAGCAGACAATTCGGGGAGGGGTAGAAAACTGGGCACCAGAAATGAAATTTGAGAGATGATCCAGCTGCAAACAAGAAAAAAAAAAGCAACAAACCACATTGAAACAAAAACGACACTGAGAGAAGATTTAAATTCTTCATTTAGCACTTAGGAAATTAACAGCCATTTTCCCAACAACCCACTAGGGGTCGATAAATCTGCACATTCATGGAGCTCATAGTACCATGGAAAAACTATAAACAGCCTGGAACTCGGATCTCTGGTCTATTATAGCTGTAACTGGAAAAACAATATACAGCCACTAAAATTAGACTGATCATGTTATAATACAAATAAGCTACAAAACACAGTAACTGGTACCACTCAGGCTTATGCTTACTGCAAAACAAATAATACTTGAGAGATTGGAGTACCCAAGATTCTGCAGCTGTACATTTAAATTTAGGCTCATAAAAATGCGACTTTTAAAGGTCAATTCCCATCTATAAATCTCTGGTTAAGGAAATACGGGTACATCACAGCAAGAAACAACTAATGAAAGAACAGACTATTAAAAATAAAGGAAAAAAATAACCGGAAGGTTTGTGGTTAGGAATGGGGAGGGCTGCATCCCAGAGTCCCAACGGAAGGCACGCTCAGAGCAGAAACGCACAGACCACAGCCCACCACTCATCGTCTGCGAAGCAGCTGCCGACCTACTTGGGCATGGACTGAGGTATTATCGAGGGGAGAGACACAACTGCTGTGCCCCTTGCACCTTTTTTCCCTCGAGGATTTCAGTTTGTGGACCTGGAAGATCTCGGCACAGTCTCACAGTACGCTCTAGAGAAGCTAATTCCTCCTGCAGCTGCAGGATTTTGCACTCAGGCTACAGCAGGCATGACACTGCCAAATCCAATTGAAAAATTTCTTCCAGAATAGCTTATCTTTGTACATCTACATTTATAAGCACACATTAACATCAGTGACCAATAAGGAGCACTGTGGATATACTTTTTTTTGGTAAATACCTGAGTATTTGCTTTTATAAGCATACCTCATACCTAGGTAGCACCGACATGACAAAAATGTATTAATAATAATTAATAATAACTGGTGACTTATTTACTACAGTAATAAAAGCCCACTAGTGAAAAAAAAATCTGAGCGCTACAGATCACAAACTGAATACTGCCAAAAATCTACTACTGTATACACATAGGGACAACTGACGTCATTAAGCAACTGAATTTCCCTGAATTAAATTGGATTTCCAATAGGACGATGGCTATGCCAACTCTTGGGACAAAAATTTTACTAAAGGTGTGAGGCTCTATACAAATGTGTTCTGAATAACGTTCTGGTATATAAGAACACATCTGAAACAGCACTGGATATTAAACATGTGAAATCAGATTAACAGCAATAATTCAGATGCCAACAATACTTTAATAGGAAAACACTTCTCAAATCAAAAAGAACTTCTATACCTTGGTAAAGTTCCAGTACTACAGTATTTTATCAGCTTCTTATTTTAACTGTCACTTCTCTTTTGGTTTTTGTCACGTTTCAAGATGAATAAAAGTTAAACATGAATTTGGAAAGTTCTCCTTAACTTTCCAGTTCCATAACTTCTAGAAACTTGGGATTTTCTTTCCTTATTCATATTGTGCAGTGCAAGGATATTATATCAAAGCAATTGGCTCTGGATGGTTTTAAGATAAATTTTGCAATTAAATATAATTTATATTTTCAAAATCTAAAATTTTTGGTTTTCTTAAGATATTTAGAGCTTAGGAACTGCAAGTGACCTCTGCCTGCTTCCTGGCCCACCTAACGAGTCCACTATCAAGTGACCTGCTTTGGCAATTTCTGAGCGACTTGTCAGGTCAAAGATACAAAACTCCAGTACTGGGAATCATCGGTACTTATAATCATTTATGTCTGTAAATCAGAAAAAAAAAAACAAAACAAACATGTTTGGTTAGATTCTCTGTACGCAAAATAATTTTTAAAAATTTGTGATGCTTCTTTAGAACAGTATTATTAATTATTTAATGAGTTTTGTTAGTGAGGGTCTGTGCCTTGCTGTAAAGAAAAAGCCTGAAAGAACAACTCACTACGTATCTTAAAAAAATGAGCAAAAACCCCTATCGATCATATGAACTAAATGCCACTGCCACAAAACCATTTTTATCCTGTAGTTAAATTATCTGTGAGCAGACAGGGGGTTAACTCCACCAAAGATAACAGGAGCTAAAGCTCATAAAGATATAACTGAAACCTGAATGCACATACCCATTACACCTGTTAATTATTACACCATTTCTGAATTTGCGGAAGGGTGCTCTGTTCCTGCCGGCCAATGCAAGCCTGGCTTTTTATCACTGAAATGGTCAGAGTCTGATTGACGGGTCAATGATCTATTAAAAAACAGTAACTACATCAGCAAATTTTACATTTGCAAGAGACTGCAACTCAAGTTTAATACAGCTATTACAAGACATACATTATAGTACATCGTACATTTCCCCCAACCTACAGAATAAGACGGGAATTCGAAATTTAAGTTTTTAAAATGAACAACTACGTCATTAACAGTTTGGTAATCTCTAATGATTTGCTATATATAGGGTAAAATTTAAAATAGCTTTAAAAATCTTCCAGTAGTTAAATACTCTAGGAACGTTGCGTGATGCTACATCCATGCCCTCAAATTACCCTTAATATACCTTAGAAGTATCAATTACTGTTATTCCATATTTCACTATTCATTAACAGTATTCACTCACCATGATAATCACTTAAGCACCCAGTAATTTAATGAAAGTAACACAGCTTCAGCTTCCTATCACTCCTGAATATTAATGGTAGTCAGAGGCCTAAATCCCTTGTTTTCAAACTGTATTTGGATGTAACTTCTATCGAGTCTTTACATAAGTCCTTAAACTGCAGCAATTCCACCTCAGGGTAACAGTTTATGTCTGTCACACACTAGTTTCAAGACACAAATAAACGTACAGAAATAACAGACAGCAACGCAACAGAAGACAAAGGATTAGAGTGATATAATGCAAAAGTTTAACCTTTGCCCTCTGGAATTCTCATATGCCCCCACAACACTTAATTTTTTGGGGGTAAAACCAGTATATTCTTTTAACCTGCAGCTTTGATTTGGTACAGCTTGATGAACATCGTAACCTGTTAGCAGTTAATAACTTGATTCCTACTATACACAAAAGCAATTCTATTGTCCTTGACCTGCCGAAGAGCTGGCCCTGTAAGCCACAAATTATACATGAAATAGGATCTTCTTTAAATTCTACATTTTGACTTCTACTGTGAGCTTTTCCTTTCCTCATTTGCACGCTTGATTTTACACTTCTATCTGTAGTATCAACAAAGTTAAAGGACTGTTTCACTGACCTTATAACAAAAGAAACTGAGTTAATAGCTGTTTTCACTTTAAGTCCAATTCAAGCTGTAGGGTCGTTTGGTGGAGGATTTTTTTACAAGCGTTCATTCCATATGATGGTAGAGCAGAAAATCTACTAGACTTGCCAATCAAAGGAAAAAGAGAAATAAACCTCTGGACGAAGAATTCTGATTACACCATAGGAAAACTCTCTGGCACTTTTACCACGCTGCTCAAATCTTTCTCCAAAATTCAGCTTTGTATTTTTAAAAGTAGGTACAATATCCTTGAAAAACTAAAAAAAAAACAGCAAGCAGTGTAGTAAGAGTTTCATGCTCTTAGAATCTGAAAAAGCTCTGGGATGAAGTGATGACCACATTACATGTTTGCTCTCAACTTGTGCAAGGAAAGAGAAGGGTGATCTTTACGCCAAAAGCTCACGCCGGCACTCTGAGTGAATCGATGTACCAGCAACAGCACCTGTCCACCAAACCAACAAGAAGCTTGGTCCAAATATATATATATATATATATATATATATATATATATCTGTATTACGAAGAACCTAACAGAAAATAAAAACTGCCAGAAGAAATCAAGCTAAGCAACTCATAGTTAAAGCAATTTCATACTCTACATAAGAGTGAGGGATGAATCGTATGGGCTTAAAAGAAGCTTGTATCTGTAAGGGAATGGCAGCCCAAGGAGATTCAAGTGCATGGCTTTAGGCTAGGCTAGTGGGACCTAATAAGTCAAGAGAACACGCGCGTGGGGGAAAGTACATTACACATGGGCAAGAGGGGAAACGGATAGGGTAGGTAAGTACAGGACTTATTTTTGTCATCCTTTGGTTGGTGATGTAACAGTCACCAAATACCTTTTATCTAAATTTTAAATACAAGTTTTGGGGCAAAGACTGTAGTTCTATCTGTAACTGACCCATCTAATCAAATGCAATTTTACTCCAGCTTTGTTACTTGGCTCACGTAATAATGTTTCTGGAACACTGGGCAAAGGCAGCTGTCGACCAGACACAGCAGTATAGCAAGAATTCTGCTGGTCAATATTTAAATTTATGAAAAACACAAGCTTCCATTTGCCTACAGCAGCACCTATAATAATTAGTACAAAGTTACCTCCAAATGTTCTCCGAATATAGATTATTACTGACCATAAAGTAATTTCCTTTAGTATTTATTATTTATACTAAATAGCAGCAATATGATCCAGAGAACCACAAATACCATGTGGCCTCAAGACAGGTACAGTTGGTTTACAAATACATAAAGGCTGTGCTCAGCAATATAGAGCCATGAAACAACAGGTATCCAGACTTTTTTCTTTACCTGCATCGCATTCACTAACAAAATGTTGTTTGGAGTATAAAACACCTGTGACTTAGGGAACAAAAACCTTCCTAAATACTTCTGGTAGCGTAAGCAGGGAGATCAGCAATTTAAATAAAAATGTTTTGAGAAGTTCCATACAGTCTGACACATTTCAAAAGTTAAACCAAAATACTGAATAAAAAGTTAGAACACAAGGTTGTTCTTCGTAACTATTACTGAACTAATAAAATAAATAAGGCAAGCAATCAAATGGCACCGTGAACATTTAACGTGTACCTAGCGGCCGGCAGAATCACGGCCTATGGTTTCTAAAGTTGTGCTCTAAAAGGAAAATATTTTCCTTGATCTGAAATAAGAACACTTCTTCCATAAACACAAGTTTGGATCATATGGAGGCATTTACCCAGCAGTTGCCTCAGCCATTTTACTTTAAATGGATTATTTTTTGGAACCAAACGATGCAAAATTCTGAACACTGATAATACATTTTCAATTCAGCCACCGACAGGGTCTTCACTGTGTGTGAAAACTGGAGTAAAGGTAGTAGGCTTTTGTGATTAACTTGATAATTCTTTCCTCACTGCCTCTGTGCCTTGCGAGATCTCCTTTTAAGTAAATGCTATTTATTGATTTTTGTTTTGCAATACATAAACCCACATAATTAAGGAGATATGAACATACAGTGGCTGTTACAAACAAAAGAAGTTAAAAGTTCTGAAGAACAGTGACCTTTTGTGTAGGAAAGATAAAGGTAAAAGGTCAAAGATACAAAAAAGTGCTGTGCATGTTTTGTTGAGGAACACTCATTCCCCAAAACCTTATTTCTGAAAATTAAACTAAACTAAACTGCTCTACCTTCTGTCAAGAAAGATATTCTTCCAAATATTTCAGCACATACAAAACATCACAATATTAAAATGACATCATCATGGCTTTTTCTTTGGAAAATGGTTAAGTCTGCAGAAAATTATCCACAGGTATCATTACCAGTGAAAATCCATTTTGACTTAAATCTCCTGATAAACTGAGGTTGACAAAACAATGCGGGACCTAAGATAAAAGTGAAGCAACTGGTCAAAGAAACATGATCATAATAGCCCTATTTCCATCAGATTAACTGCCTCTAGATTTGATTTATTAGGTTCAGAAGATAAAAACCAAGATAGACTAGCATCAGCTTTTATTTAATTCTTGTAAAAGTGTTTTCTGTTTTCTTAAGCTGAATGTTTTTGAGCAGTCATGAAAAATAGAACTTTTTCTAAACTAAGCAACAATTCACCAGGCTTTGATATGAATTTCAGTAAAATCTATTTTCAGAACAGCAAATACCTTTCAGCTTGACTTAGGAATGCAAATGCTAGAACATCACTGTGACACTGTGCAAGAGACATTATAACATCAATCAAGTACAGCTTCCTGCACCGATCCAGTGTATTTCTCAAAAAAAAAATTCTCATTGAGGCTCAAATCACGTGAGTTGGTATTTCACATTATGAAAGTTACTGGAATCCATCTTTCACAACAGTTACATACAAATCTGGGATTAACTGGCTATAGCACACAGTCATAACCAAAGGCTGCTCCTCTCTCAATTGCAGTTGCTTTAGTGGCTTCCACACTATGGCAGAAAAATCATTATTTAAAATACAAAGCCACCGCTATTTATTCAGCTTTACAAAAGTGTCACTCAAAAAATATGAACAAAAAAAAAAATAGAGGCTCACTGCACATTCATAGATAAAAATGGGATATCATCAGTGTTTTGGACAACAGCTGTAGGTTAAGACTGTGCTGTGCTTGTGCTTTTGTACTGTGGGAGAGAGGACATGAAAGGGCATCATTCACAGGTCTACTTAGGTGGGATAAATCAGGGGTCTACTAGTGGGAGTAAAATGCCTTTCACCCTCCGCCACAAGCGGATATGTTAGCAACAGACTTTACCAAAAGCCACACTTTCTCTTGCATAAGGCAAGTGGTATATTTTTTTATTTGTCAGCATCACTAAGCAACTCAAGTTAGACATCTGTTAACAAAAAAAACCCCAGCCACCCAAAGAAGCCACACTAGGAACACACAAGTCATCGCTCGATCAAGACGTGCTCCAAGGCTGTGCAAAAATCAGAAACTACAGAAGCAGCTCCAGAGGCACACAAACCACCAGACCTCTTGGTAAGACCAATAGCTCAGTCACTTCACTTCCACCCTCACTGCGCACCATCTCTCCAAAACAGAAAACATTTAACCTTCCTGTAAACAGAAACAACAGCAAGTATTTTTTGTCAGGCCTGAACCTACAGCACCAGACCTCTTCTGTTCTTTCCCCACCCTGAGGCACGTTCTGCCCATTTTATCTGTTTCTGTAGTACGTAACTAACCCCTCATCGCATTGTCGGTGCGGTTTGGTGCGGTTCAGAGTAACTGGCTGGCAGCTTAAACACCTGATTGCCCCGATACTGTCACACCACAGCAAGACAAAAGCTGGCTTCACACAAAATAAATCCAAAAATCTCAAAAGGAAAGTTCATAGCACATGCTTCTGATGCGAGCACTGTATCTAAATAAAACCCTTGCCAAACGTTAACTACACAGCAGTACTGACTTTTATATCCAAATGTCTAGTATTTCTCTTCTTGAAAATGCAAAGACATTTCCAGGTTAT